GCTGGCATTTTGCTCAAGACCAACGGAATCAGGAAAAAGAGCACACACCTGTGGCTGCGTCCTCATGTCTGGGCACTTCTTGGTGACAAAGAGAGGGGGGAAAAGGAAAAGGGTAAATGGTCCTGGTCCCATCTCAGCATCTCCCTGTGCCCCAGCAGTGCGCTCTGATGTGAATGGATGCAGAGGGGAGGTGCGCGCACAGGACCTGCAGCAGAATCCCAGCAGAAACCAGTGAGCTGGAGGGTCTTCAGACAACCCCGTGGTGCTACGTGTCCCTGCTCCACAGTGATTTTCCATTTCCAGAGTCTTTCGTCCTGAGCTGAATGACTCAAATCCAGAATTGTCATATTTTTAAAGCCTAATAGAAGTAACTTCCAAAGTGACTTGCTCTTGTCCTCGGTTAAATGTGTTGAAAACCAAATTAGTACAAGAATCTGAGATTTTTCTTCATTCGGTAAAGCATGGGTTGGAATTTTGTTTGTTTGTTTTCAAATAATGGGTCTTTCTACAAGAGAAGAGAAAAAAAGTGTTAATGGAAATTGCAGTGCACAATGAACCAAACCTGAAAAACAAAAAAAAAAAAAAAAAAAGAAAAAGAAAAAAAAGTATTGTGAAGTCTTACAGATTCCAAAAGCTTATCTCGCTATTTTGCTGCTGTGGTTTTCATTTCTGATATTTACTACCCCTCTCTTCTCCCCATATCATTTTGTTTGTTTGTCTGCTTTGCAAGCTTTTTCTGGTTTTGGCACAAACCAGAAGGGAGCTCACAGCACTGCCCCACGAGCAGCCGTGGGCACGAGGGCGCACGGCGGGGACCCTGGCCAGCCGCTGCCACCACGTGAGATGCAGGAGACAAACCTGAGCCCAAAAACGTCACTCACACAAGACCACTGAGAGCGTCCCTGTCACGCAGGGTCAGACTCACCCGCTCCAGCCCAGCTCCTGGAGCGCTCTTTCTTCCCGGAACAGAAGGTGACAGGGTCACGCTGCCCTTGGAGCTCGCGGCTGTGCCGATCTCAGCAGGAGGCTGGGACTGGTGTCAGGGGAAGGCAAATGAAGAAGCAGGGGAAGACCCAGAGCTCGGCCCGGGCTGGGAAGATGCATTTACAAGGTCCCCATGGGATATTGAGGGCCCCACAGGGCAGTCACTGAATGGTTAAATAGGGACAGAGCGGGAGGCTTTGGGGCAGAAACCCAGGCGGTGCTGGCAGTTGCAGGAAGACCCCGAATTGTTCATTCCCTGCCAGAAACCTGAGGGGCAATGGGTCCATGGGTGGTGGAACCAGCACCTGGCATCAGCACAGCACATCGGAGGCCTGGGCCCTGTGCCACAGGGATGGGCTTCTGTGAATCTCTCCTCTCTCGCCACGAGAGCCAACGAATCTCCTTCGTATGCAAGTCCTGACCCAGAAGGCAATAACAATTTTCCTGCAAGTGGGTGAGAGAGGAGGAACAAGGAAAGAAAGACGATATCCACAGGTGTGATTACAGCTGTTGGCATGGCTTTATTTTAAAGCCTAGCAACCCCAGGCAGTCACATTTGGGATCCCCCTGTGCTGCGCTTTCATTTCCCTAAAGTCTTTTTTTTTGGAGCTACAGTCTCCTGCCTCACCACATGCCTACCTGCTTGTTCGTCCCGTTTTATCCCCATTTCATCCACCTCAGCTGTATGAATCGCAGTCTTCCAGGATCAGCTTTTAGATCCTCTACCATGCCTTTATAGCGCTGCCCCGGTAGGATCTGGCCTCAGCTGGGGTTTCTGTGCTGCCCTCTTGCACAGGACAATCCAGCTGTGGAGGAGAAGGGCGGCTGTGTAGGCATGAAAAACAGCTTCAGGCAAGGACTGCTGCTTCGTTGAGGTCTCACTTCCAGGTCTGACGATGCCCCGCTGGCTCCTGTAGGTCCAATGAGGGATCCTGTCCTTGCAGACACCGTGCCCTCCTTGCTGCGGAGAGGGGCAATGGCAGGGGCAGCTTTCCAGGGGTCCCTGGGGCTGCCGAAATGACCGGCCAACACCAAGCTTCTGGGGGCTCCATCCCCAAGGCTGGCTCTGCACAACTTGCAGGCTGGATGAAACCTCCCAAAACATCAACAGCAGAAGTGACCAGAAGGCACAGGCACACACAGCCACTGTGTTCTGACGTAATTTCACTCAATCTCAGCTTGGTCTGGCCGGGTACCTACAGGACACGTGGTGGGAGGCCAGAGAAGGCTCCCAGACACCCTTTTCTAGGTCCTTCCCTTTTCTAGGTGCCAGCACAGGGCTGAGTGGTGGCTGAGGGCAGGTGGGTGGGGGTCCCAGCAGGAGGCCCATGCTGTGATCCTGGTGGTTTAACACCTGTGAGCTGGAAGAGAGCTGGGAGAACCATTCAGAGCCTGTTGAGGAGCACAGCCAAGCACAAAGCAGCTGCTTTTTGAGTAACGGAGCAGCTGGGGGGGCTTCAGCCCGGAGGGAGGCAAGGGAGGGCTGAGGTCTGAAGCCATCGGTGACCTGGGGAGGGGCAGAGGACCAGGGGCTCCTGTCATCCCCAGCACAAGAAGAGGGGCAGCCCAAACAACACCAGTCTGAGACAGCTTCAGGAGAAGCAAAAAGGGCTTCTCCACCCCACCTGTGGCTGGGGACTCATTGCTATGGGACACTGCAGGTGCTGACGGTTTACAGCGGATCAAAAGAAGATTGATAAATCACAGCTGTATCCACTGCTGGTTATTACATGGATAAAAAGCCCTCAGGGAGGAGGTTTTGCTGCCCCAAAGGAAGTAAGAACCTTAATGGACATGGGATAGGCAGGGTGGCCCCATGATCCCAAGATGAAGGGATGGGCCACCACTGTTTAAAACTCATTGCTGCTGGGTGAGCTCAGCCTGGGGTCAGGGAGAGGCAAAGCACCTCCTGAGCTGGGCACATCCCTGGAAAGCCCATCTCCACGTGGCCAAATCCTTTGGCTGGGACACCTGCGTACCCGATGCCTGACCACCTCCCTGTTTCCTCGCTGGCTGAGTACTACAGCTTCACAAGCTACTCCTTGCTCCTCTATACCATATATGTAGATTTTTTATTTTTTAACCCTTTAATTTCTTCCTTTTCCCCTTTTTTCTTACATTTTGAGAACCTGTGATCTTTGTTTTACTGTTCCCACACTGCTCATCCTGCTTTTCTCAAGCTTCCACCTTATTTTGGAACAGCGATGCCTTCTACTGCCCACTTACCTACTTAGCATTTCTCCTTATTGTGACTGCACAACTACTTTGGCATACAGAAAAGTAATTCTCTACTGCAAAAATACAACTTAGTTTCTCACACCAGGAACCTGGCAGAGATCAGGGGAGGCTCCAGGCACGTTCACAGCATTGCTCTATCTTCTCCTCCTATCGCTGTGGGATTTCCTCAGCCTTGTCCAGGTTATTACAACTTCTTGAGCGTTTAACCAAGACCCTTCACTGGCTAAGCCAAGCCCTGGCTGCAGCCATCTGCTCAGCCCATGGGTGCTGGGACCTCAGGAAGGCTGAGCCCTTCCACTGCTCCAACCGCTGACCAAAGCCCTCCCTAAATTAGTTTGTGCCGCACCAGGTCAGCTCTTCTGGATGCCCCTTGCCTACCTGTGCCACGCGTGGGGCTTTCCATGAGCTCCGGCACCGTGGTTAATCGAAGGCCATGGCACGTGCTGCCCGGGGGCACACCACCTGCACCTCAGTATTTTGGAAACCTCCAGGGTGAGACACTACCATCCTCGCTGGGGGCCACAGCCTGGGTGCTTTACACAGAGCTGATTCCCTTGCCCAGCTAAATCTCAACCAGCCGTTATCACCACCAGCCCGCTCGGAAGTGCCACGACAGTGGTTTGGGGAGGTCCTTTTGGTGTTTTTTTTAGCACCCCAAACCTTCTGGCGCAATGCACACCGCCCTGGGCCCTTGCCTTGGGTGCGTAACAGCACGCAGTGAGGGGAACCACAACCACCGCCCTCAGGAAGGGCAATCCAAGCAGAGAGCAGCCTGCCTGCAGCTTGCCACCGGCCAAGGCACAAGCTGGGAACACGAACTGTTGCTCACAGCAAGAGGCCGTGGAGGACAAAGCGTCTGCAGCCAGCCGTGATGTCTCTTTGCTCCAGTCCTCACCTCCCGTGCAGATGAGACGGTTCTTCCATGCTGCTTCATTATTCCAATTAGCAACAGCTACGGGCTGAGGCTGTGGGGCAGAGGTTGGCTGGAAGCAGAAGTGAAAGGGACAGAAATAGGATGCCTGGGTGCTGGGGGGATGGAAGGAGAGCGGCCGGGCTTCACCACGGGCAGGACAGGCACCTGGCTGCTGGGGCAGGAGGGAGGTGGGGAGTAGGACAGCCAGCTCCAGCTGGAGCCCCCTGAGGTGGCCAGGAAAGCAGGTAGAGCTGGCCTGGCACAGGAGGAAGCCATTTGCTCGATGTTTTAGCCAGCCTTCGTGTAGGAGAGGCAAACGGCACTTTGTCTATACCCACAAGCCCTCCCCAGGCTGGAAAGCAGGTCAAACATCCTGCAAAGCAGGTTTGCTGGGGTTTCTACAGACACCAAACCACCGACCTGGAGACAAGCACAGGTAGCTCACCAGCTCACCACCAGCTCTCTGTGCAGTTGTTCCTTCTTCCCACCCTCTTACTTTTGCCAATGCTTGAGCTGGATGTGGCTGCGGGCATGCCTCAATCAAGGACCTTGGGTGTGCAGCCCCCAGAGACCCCTGGCAAGGGGCGCACGGCTCCACGAAGTGGCTTCCAGGAGGATTTGCTCCCTCAGCTCCACAGGGACAGAGGGGTGGCTGGGCAGGCTGTAGCTCCCCAAGCTCTCTTTCTCACCCTGCCCCATGTTAGGTGTGATGCTCACCCTGTCCCACTCTTCAGGAACCTCCCCGATTGCTACTGTTGTCCAAAGGGACATGGCATGGGCCAGCTCCCTCAGCACCCTCCAGTGCATCCCACTGGGTCCAGCTCACCCCTGGCATACTGCACTTAACAAAATTAGCCTTGTTTTGGTTTCCTTCCTCATTCCAGCCTGGCTCAGCCACTCCGTGAGCTGGTGGAGGTGCTGGGGCTTTCCAGAGGTGTAAACTCCCAGATGTCGCAACCTGCGGCATTCCCCATGTGCTGCCCAGGGCCAGATTTCTTGGTCCAGGGAACCTCCTGGATGCTCAGTGTGGGAGGCCACCCGCATCTTCACCCACTGCCTGCGGCTGCCATAGCTCCTTTCATTTTCACTTTGCTCCTCACCAGGTTTTCAGGAACTATGTGGCTCTGCCCTCAGCCCCGGCAGCGAGCCCAGGCGCTGCCTGCAGCAGCAGCAGCCTCAGAAGGGAGCCAGAGGTGGTGTTTATCCGGGCTGGGCACCACGCACAGCGCACGAAGCCCGGGCAGCTCCCGGTGTCCTGGCCCTGGTCGCTCCGGTGAGTGCCCAACGGGAGCCCCTGGGCGCAGAGCTGGGGCTTGGCATTGGTGGGGGGAGCGGGGTGGCCAGCAAGGCTCTGTCTTGCCAGCCCATTTGGGCACTCGGGGCGTGGAGGAACCTCCCCAGATGCACACGAAGGAACTGGAAGCTTTGCTGCAAGCCTCAGGGTGCCGGCTGAGCTCTATGTGTGCGCGTTCACTCCCCATCACCGTGCTGATGTGGGTGCTGGGGGCCGCAGCTGCTGCTGACCCCCCCCCCCTTGTGCTGCAGATGTCTCAGGAACCGCAGCGCCGGAGCAGCCCCGCTGCCCTGCTCATCCCCAAGCCCCGGGAAGGGCGGGCGCAGCGCGCGGTGTACGTCCTCCTGGCCACCTGCACCGCGGCGCTGTGCCTGGCTGGGGAGCCCCTGTCCCCCGCTGCCCACCGCGTGTCCGCCCACCTGGCTGCCCTGCAGATCGGGGCCCTGCTCAAGGGCTGCTGCTGCCTGGCAGAGGAGATCTTCCACCTCCAGTCCAGGTGAGACACCTCGGGGCCACCGCAAGGCTGCGGAGCTCTGCGGGGAAATCTGCTGCTTGTTTCCGTCCCCACGGGTGCCCCCACAGCTGCTCGCTGTCATCCTCGCTGCTCCCGACTTTCCAGTCCACCTCTTCTCCTCCTGCCCTTCCCCGTGCCTCTGTGGACCTATCCGTGGACACTCGCTGGTGTCCCTTTTCCCTGGGGCAGAAATCACAGCCCCAGCTTTCCCCCACCATCAGCTTCTGGGGCGCACGGGGATTTGGGGAATCATCTCCCCTTGATGTCCAGCCCCACACTGCTCCCCTCCAGGCCCACGAGCGCTGCTGGAGACTCAAGGTCCTTCCTGACCAGGGGCTGCAGAGCGCTGTGCTGCTCCAGGAGGCCTGGCGGGGAGGTGGGAGCACCCCTTGCTGGACACCCCACAAGGTGTCCACCCTCCTCGCGCCCTCCCTCTCCCACCCAGATACCGCGGCAGCTTCTGGAGGGCCCTGAGCGCCTGCTTCCCACCGCGCTGGCACCTGGCCCTGCTGCTCGTCGGTGGCTCAGCCTACCTGGACCTGCAGCAGGGAGAGAGGCTCAGCCCCCACCTTGCCCTGACCTGCCTGTGCCACCTCCTCGCCCTCGCCCTGGGGCTCCAGGTAAGGCACCGGCACCCTGCGCCTGCCCGCGCTCCCCGGGGATGCTCAGCACCCAGTGCGGGGTGCCTGGCTCTGTACCTGCACTACAGCCACCCGCACGCTGCCCTGCTGCAGGAGGGACAAATTCTGCCTGTTTTGGCTCAGCCCTGCAGAGCTGATGCCCTTGGCAGCACCCTGCAAGGCGTCCATCCAGAGGGCCCCGTGCTCCTGCGGTCAGTGAAAGCAGCCGCCCCGTGGCACGGGCACCAACCCCGCACAGCCAGGGCCCTGCAGGGATGACAAACGGGGGTTACGTCTGTCAATTAATGTAGTTCTTGGTGGAAAAGGGCAGCCCATGAGGTCTGCAAAGGGTTGACTCATCACCAGAACGCAGTGAGTGCCGAGCTCCAGGTCCCTCTGCGGTGGTGGCACAGATAGGGGACCCCACAGGCCACCCAGGGGTCCCCACTGAAAGCCGGGTGCTGCCGGAGAGCCGGGCACTCTGCTGCCACTTCCTCTCCTCCGCCTTCTTCTCACATCTTTCTCTCCTTGCCTCTGCAGAAGCCCTCGGCGGTGGAGATCTCGGAGATGACCGAGAGGTCCCAGCAGAACGTTGCTCACGGGCTTGCCTGGTCTTACTATGTGGGGTACCTGAAAATAGTTCTGCCACGTACGTGGCTGTTCCCCGGCGTTATCAGATAAGCCTATAGCAGAGCAGCAGGGAGCAGGCTCCAAAGCAGCTTTCCTCACGCAGGCACCCTTGTCCCATGCTCTCTCCCCCCAGGCATAAAGGAGTGTATGGAGGAAATCAGCAGAGCCAACCTCAACGTGTGGGCGTGCAGGGAGACCTGGAAGCTCCACATCTTGATCCCGCTGAGCTGTAACGTCTGGGATGACCTGGAGAAAGCTGACAGCAATATCCAGTACCTGACAGACCTCACAGAAACCACCCTGACCCGAGGCGGCACCAAAAAAAGGGTCTACAAGCACAGCCTCTACGCAATCAGGGATGGGGACAACCAGGTATGCTGGGGGCAGCCCCACTGCAGCACTCAGCACGCCCAAAGGTCTTTGTGGCCTCAGATCCCAGACCAAAAGGAGCTGTAAGGGCAGGACAGAGACCCTGCTCTGTTAGAAATGCCCAGCTTCCAGCAGTCTCCCATCAGATGAGGAGGTCTTGCCCATGCCCCCTCCCTGCTGGCCCCTTCCTCCTGGCTGCACGCTTCCCATCTCAGCCCTGCAGGCATCTGGGGCTGGCTTACCCCCTCCTGGAGTTGATTGGAGTCCAGAAAACTGCAGAGAGCTGAACAGAAAGAAACAAAATAAAAAAAGGAGTGGATGTCAGGTCTGCAGCATCACTTCCCCTCTTCCCATGGGATGAAGGAATATTTCCTTCTGTTAAGAAAAGGTGCCTGAAAATGCCCATGTGATTTCCCCTGGGAACCCCTTTTCCAGGCTGGTGATCCCTCAGCCCCCTGCAGTGCCTTCGTCTCCTTCCACATCCCCAGGCACCCTCAGCACAGGCTGCACCTCGGTCCTGCTGACACATCTGGGGATGGAGGCACGGGCATAGCCGTGCTTCTCATAGGAGTGCTTCTCATTTGCCTTCTGATGGTGGCAGCACCTTGAATCTCTCCTAAGCTGTGTTGTTGACCACCCTCCTCCTAGCTGTACACTCACCTTGCCAGTATCTATCCTCCTCCCTTGTCCCTGCTCCCCATCAGGGTGCTCAGACATCTCTAGCAGAGGAGCCCCCAGAAGGGCACCATGGCACGCAAACAAGGGGCATCTCCGTGGGGACCCAACCTCCAGGGGGAAACTGCCCCCAGGCTGTGCCTCACCAAAGCTCTCCCAGCCCCAAAACTTGGGACATGGCACTGCCAGGTCCCTGCCCAGCCGCTCGCTCCCTCCCCATGCAGCAGGGCCGGGGGATGCCAGCGGCCGCAGCCCTCGCCTCCTGCCCCGCAGGCCAGGCACTGTGCGGTGGAGTTCGCCACGCCGCTGCAGACGCTCTATGCCATGTCTCAGGACGAGTGCGCTGCCTTCAGCCGGGACGACCGCCTGGAGCAGGCCAAGCTTTTCTACAGGACCTTGGAGGAGATCCTGAGAGGCTCCAAGGAGTGCGCAGGAACCTACCGGCTCATTGCGTACGAGGGTGAGCGAGCAGGGGACGAGGGCAGGGGGTGCCCAGCACGGCGGCCGTGCTCTCCAGCCTCTTGTGTGTTGTTGGATCGGGGCACGCAAGGGGAAATCTGCAGGATCTCTGCAGATCTGGTAGGATACTGGTCCCTGCTCCAGTCCCCCCAGGTCCCTGAGATTGAACAGTCTTTGGCTGTGGCAGCAAGATGCTCCCACAAACGTTAGATTTGGGACAAACAGCAGCCTTTCAGGGGAAGGAGCAGGCGCTGTCACTGCTGATTTTGCTGGGAGAAGTGTCTGGGACCATCCAGCCCCCCAGCAGCACGTGTGAAGCTCCACGGCACTCCCCAGGGAGTGAGCCTTCCCCTCCACCCTTTCATTTCCCATTTCTCCACCTCTGCCAGGACAGCGGGGCTTGACAACAGCTTGCTGCTTCTTGCCGAAACAAGAAAATTCTCGTCATTATTTTTTTTTCAGAGAAATTCAGTGCTCTCCCTGTCTGGGAGCAGCGTTTCCATCCAGCAAGGTAGTTCCTACCACAGTAGGCACTACTGGGAGCCCAGCACGTGGTGCCTGTGCTTTGCTCTCCTTCCTGAGCTTTGTGTTTTATTTTATTTGTTCTGGTGTGAGGAAAAGGGAAGTGGGAGCCATAATCTGACTTTTCAGGAAATTCTGCATGTTTTGGGGCATCTCTCACAGACTGCTTCCTGCCCAGACCCCTGCCTCAGGCCAGACCATGAAGGATGCTTTCGTCTTTCTTCTGTTCCAGAGCTGGTAGAAGCCGAGCCCCACTTCTTGTCCAGAGAGATCCTCTGGCACCTGCGGCAGCAGCAGCAGGAGGAGTTCACGGTGTACGAGGGGAGCCCCCCGCGCACCCTGGCCACAGCCCTGGGCTCAACAGATCTCAGCCTCCAGATCAGTGCCTCCGACCTGCCCCAGCCCCTGCGGAGCGACCACCCCTGAGGCCCCTGTCCTGCAGCAGGAGCCTCCCGCAGGAGCCCCGTGCTTCACATTTACAGCTGACCCAAACCACAGCCCTGTTCCATTTCCTTTGTTTCGTTGTATATTTCTGATATATTATATAGAGAATCAGAATCACAGAATCATCTAGGTTGGAAGAGACCTCCAAGATCGCCCAATCCAACCTCTGACCTAACACTAACCAGTCCTCCACTAAACCACATCACCAGGCTCCACATCTAAACATCTTTTAAAGACCTCCAGGGATGGTGACTCCACCACTTCCCTGAATACACATTATTATTTTATTATTTTTATTTTTTAATCTGCTTCAATTTTTATCATATAAAGCCCTTTTCTCTGGGGCAAGTTGGTGATCACAAGTCCTGGGAATGGCACACAGCCTGCCCCCAGGCACCCTGCAGGGCTGACATCCCAGCCCCGCACGTGTAGGTGTGCGCTGGGCCAGGCGATCCTGGCTTTTTAAGGGGCTGACTTTGGGTTTTCCTGCTGGCCCCAGGCAGGGGCTGAGCCTGTGCCCCGTTCTTGGCCCTCAGCTGCCCGGCTCCTTTTTGCAGCTCTCCTCCCAGAGATGCTGGATGCACCTCACTCATCCCACGGCTCCCAAAGCCGTGCAGACAGCCCGGGACAGCTCTCAGCTCACGGGGCTGGGAACGGCCGTGGCAGCACTTTCAGCAGGAGTACAGGTGCCCTGCCAGGTCTCAAGCCTCATATTTCAGTGGTCCTGACTGAGAAAAACTACGTGGCTGGATGTGGATGTCTCTGATTCCTCAGGCACCTGGTGGATCAGCTTTGGTGATGGCTGGGGCTCCCAGTGGGCACGAAGGCAGCTCCAGAGGGCAACGTGGCACAGCAGAGGGGCTGAGGAGCAGCCTTGCTGCACTGCAGCGTGAAGGGCTCCAGCACAAGGGCGCTGCTTCAGCTTTGTCTGCTCCGCAGAGGCAGCATTGGACTCGCCTCCGTGCCACCCTGTGTCCCCCTCTGAGCGCAGGGAGAAAAGCCTGGGTGCAAACCGAGGCACAGAAAGCCCATAACCTAGCACCTAACCACCCTGTGAAGCCTCTGGGCCCACTCTCCCGACCTGGATGAGCACAAATGTGGTGACACCTTCCTCACCCCAAGGGTGACCCCCTCTTTAAGGGATCAGCTGCAGCTTACTCCTTTCCCACCTAAAGCCAGTTAAGAAACAGCTCCCGCTCATTCTGCCTCACCTCAGCTTTCCTTCCCAGGACAAAGCTGCTCGTGGCTAGCAGCTGCCTCTCAGCAAAGCAGCCCAGGCAAACGAGAGAGCTCCATCTGTCATGCACCAGGAAGGACAAGATGGGAAATGCTTCTCCCCAGCTCCAGCAAGCTTACAGAAGAGATCTGTCTGCACATCGGTCCCGCTGGGATTTGGAATTGGAACCCACTGCAGGATTTGGTAAACCTTAATCCAAAGCCTAATCTCTGGGTATTGCATCTGCACAAAAACCAGAAGTGACAGATGAAAGGTGAGGGACCCCTCAATGGCAGCGGGAGCACACACCCCTCGTGCAGAGAGTCCTGGACCGAGGGGTCTGGTCCCAGTGCTCCTGACGCTGCTCAAGAGAAACAAGGGCCAAGCAAATGGCAAGGTGACAGCCTTCGCTGGCAGAGCATGGCAGGCAGGGCTGACAGAGGCAGGAATAGCAAGCCCCAGAAGGAAGGGGAAGCTTGCTGCCCAAGCTGGCAAGCAGAAGATAGCCATTAGGGACAGCCATTAGGGATGGTTTTCCCTCAGCCTCCCTAACAGCACAAATTGCCCAAGTTTTTGCACTAATTGCAGCTTTCTCTGTCAGCCCTGACCCAGGGCTCCCCAGCTTGTGGGTGGGTGAAGGTGCCGCAGGGCGTCAGCAGCACAGCCTGGCCTGCTGCTGGCTGGCACTGGCAAAGTGGTGGCACCCCCAGCAGCTGTTGTCACCAGTGTGCCTGCTGGCAGGAGAGGACAAAAGCCCCTGATATCCCTGGGCATCCCCTGGGGCCCTGGGCACAGCCATGCTTCAGCAATACCCATGCCACAGCACCCTGACTGCCAGCAGGAGTTAGGTCTGTGCAGGGCGCACAAAATCCTAAACCTGAGCAGCTGAGCACAAGCCCTGGGGGCCAGAAGCACGGCCAGGAGAGGTGCCTGGCACTGTGCTGCGAGCCCCAGCTGGGATGGAGTTAAGTTTTCCTGCAGTGGCCCATACAGCATCGTGTCACACCGATGCTTTGTCTACTGCCTGAGCAGTGATGGCACAGCACCAGGACTCTCTCCAAGCCCCCCGGGGCCTGCAGGCTGGGGTGGGCAAGAGGTGGGGAGGGGACGTGGCCAGGGCAGCTGACCTAAACCAACCAAAGGGATACCCCGTGCCGTATGGGGTCACGCTCAGCAACAAATCTGGGAGAGGGGAAGGAGAGGGAGGGCTCTCGTTATGAAGACACCTGCCCTGAGCAGTATCGAGGCCTTGCATCCCAGGAGATGGCCAGACATTGCTCGCTGATGGGAAGTAGAAAATATTTCTTTCCTTCTCTCTGTGCTTTTCTTTTTCCCTTTTTTTTTTTTTTTTTCATTTTCCCTTTAATTAAATTACCCTTATCTCAACCCATGAGCCTTGTTTCTTTCTTTTCTTTCCAGCATACTTGCTTCCTCCCCCTCTCTTCCTCCGAGGAGGGGGAGAGAGAGAGCGGTCGTGGGGGAGCCTGGCTGCCCAGCAGGTTGTAGAACAACCACAGGCAGGCAAGCCAGAAAGCCCCTCTTTGGGGTCTCCTGCTTACAGGGGTGATGGGACGGGCCTGGGGGCGAGCAGGGAGGTACGGTCACGGTCAGGGTGCAGGGGAGGAAGGCAGGGCCAGGCACAGTCTGGCTCAGCCAGGACTGGGGCCAGGGGTTGAGCTTGGACGCTCAAAGCAAAGGCAAGGCTTCGCACAGCTCTTCCTCGCATCCCATCTGGTTTTGTTAGTGCCATTTGGATATAAATAAACCCAGCTCCTGTTTGTTCAGCACCGTGGAGTTTGCCAGGTTGGCAGTTCTTTCTGAGGCACGCTTTGGTCTTCTCTCCTTGTGGGTGACCAGAAATTCGACTGTTAGCTGCCTGGAAGGAGCCAGTCCTGTGCCATGGAGCAGAGGCTTCTTTTCTGACCTCAGGGGGTCTGATGCATGAGTTGTCTCAAAGACTCATTGCAAAGCAGATGAATTTTATACTGAATTTATGAAATCCGGCCTTCTGTTTTTCTGCTGGAGATGCATGTGCCGATTACAAGTGTCTTTTCTCCTGCTTTGTGTGTCTTCCTTGCGATGGATGAGAAACCACCAGCGCAGCCTGGGATGCCTGGGACAGAGGGATGGGGAGGATGGAGGCAGAGTGCTCCCTAAATCTTGCCTTTTTGTTTGGATACTGGTGAATTTAGGATTTATTTTTACAGAGGTTGCTTTTTACTGCCTAAAACATCTCTGGACTCTAGTTTTTTTCTCTGGAGGGACATGTGTATTAAAGATCACTACACTGAAAATCTCAGGAACTTTAAGGCTGACTCTAGCTATATGGATCAATGTTTAAAGCATCTGAGAGCTGACTTAGGTTTAGGATGAGAAGCGTTTTTGCCTCAGGAGCCAGCTCCAACCCACATGGCACCGGTGGGTGCCAGAAGACAAAGGGAGCTCTGGGCACTCCTCCCCAGCCCTGCATCAGGCAAACAGGAGCCTTTGGGAGGGAGAGCACATTGCCCAGAGCTGCCTTCCCCGGGTGTCCTTTGAGATTCTGTAACTCCTACTGCTTCTGCATAGAATTCACATTGCTGTGACTCTGGGTTTAAGGCTAGAGAGGAGAGTTCCTCTTCTGTTTTACTTCTGGGTTGGGGGTTAAGAGGTCAGCACCGATATGGTCCTCTACAATCTTTTCCTGTAAAGGACTGAGGTTTGGAGCTGGAAACATCATCCAGCTCTTCTGGGAAACCTTGTCCACTTTCTTTTTGGCCTGTAATGGATGGTGGCACCTCGGACAGGTTGTGGTTGCTCCTGCTGCAGTGATGAGCAGCAAGAAAACTTTCAAAAACATAACTTGTGTTGCTCATCCCACACTAAAATGTGGCCCTTATTGCGAACTGGTTCCTTCAATCTGGCAACTCTTTTTGGCTGTCTTCAGCAATGACTTTTTTTAAATCCTCTCAAACATGTCTAGGTATCAATCCCTTGGCATCCAACAAGGGATTTGGGGAACACTGCTACTGATCATTGGGAAATGACCCTTTTTGTTTTGTAGATTTAAGCCTCTGTGCAATTTCTCTGGCCCCCAGACAGTGCATAAATCACTGCTTGGCTCGAAATCAGAAGAACTCGTTGAGTCATTTAAGTTCATTCAGTTTGTGGTGGGAACTGGAATTGATAAAGTGCTGTACAAAATGCTTATGTACTCACATACCATTAGCAGCAGAGTAAGGAAAGACACGTGGCTTAAAGGAAGAAGAAGAAAAAAAATAAAAATAAAAATAAAAATAAAAATAAAAATAAAAATAAAAATAAAAATAAAAATAAAAATAAAAAAACAGATGCAGGGTTCCTTGCTCTTGGCTATTCTATCACTAACATTTGTGAAGCTGAGCACCTGATCCGCATGTTGGTTTTCTCCCCCTTGCTCTCACTGATGAGTGACTGGATCATGGAAATTGTATTGAGGTTTCCCATTTTTGTTTACATTCCTGGGAACTACTGTCTGCTGTGTCTTGAGGTCATGTGCCAAGTATGTACCTTGGCTGTAATGTTTCTCTAGGAGCCATGGTGAATTTTGAAGCTTTGAAAGTTTTATGTGGTTTGAATATACATGTTGGCATTAACACACAGATCTTCTAGAAGACCCCCAAACCTGACCTCTGGTGCTGAGGCAAGAAGGCTTCTCAGCTTCATTTGTGCTCCCACCCACCCAACAAACACATCCTGCCGCTTGGGCCCTGGAGCATTTGGGCAGAAACTTGCTGATTATTTTTTAAAGGCCAAATTCTGAATCCTTGCAAATGCAGGATGCTTCTGTATCTGAGGCAGGAGGGGAGGAGAAGTCAAAGGTTATTCCTGAAGCCTGAGAATAGCTAAAAATATTCAGCAGGACCTGCTTTTATTTGTGTCCGTAGGTCTTATACCCATGTAATTTCTAACGAGCAGGTCAATTTGGTGGATAACTGTGCAATTCCCAAGCAAAGAAGGCTTTGTGAATGATGATGTTTTACAGTCAGCTTTGCAATGGTGTTCACTTCGTGAGGCTGGAATAAAACAAATTATTGGCAAATTCGTGTGCGTGGAGTCAGGGAGCTCCATGTGCTGCTGGAGAAAAACGTTCTTTCTGCAGAAAGGTGCTCGCAAGGCTGGCACTTGGTGAACGTCCCACGAGGAACCAGCCAGAGGAGAGCAGCAGCGGCTGTGCAGCGGTGCTCTGCTGCCCTCAAGTGTTGCTTTTTAGCGATAGTCAAATCTGCAAAGCCTGCAGTTTGTGCTTTTAAAGTTTGGTGGTTGTGCTTCAAGAAAGGCCTTTGCAATCACACTGATTATTTTACCTTTTCCGTAGGAAACTTCCTGCTTGAAAAGTGGGCTCATCTGAAGTGATTGAGTTAACCAGCGCGTTGACCAAGTTCACTCCTCTCTGTGGTTAAAGTTTGGCATCCTGCAAAGCAAGGAAAACAGCAGCTCAGCGCTTCAGCTATCAGCCACTCACACATCTCTGGGGCTTAAACTGGCTGTTCCTTACCTGCCCTGGTGTCGTGGTGACTTTGTAGTCCCTTTCATTTATTCTTCCCAGCAATTCAGGGGGAGAAGTGTAATACATGTGGTAAATGGGTATAAACTAAATTTGAGAGCCACCAGCAAGACAGTCCAGAAACCTTCATGGGGCTGACTCGATGCTCTTGCATGCTGTAACTGCAAGCTCACACCTGAGCCTTTAAATCCTGGTGTAGTGTGCATGGGGTTAACAGATACATCAAGCCCAGCACCCCAGTTTTCAATTAAATTGTTAGCCAAGCATCCAAAACATTAATTTCTTTCAATTAGTCAGGTTTGCTTCTGTAGTTCCTATTTCCCAAGCTGTTAGTGCTGTCACTTATGTTTAGCAGGTAGCATTAGTGGCTGGGTTAGACTGAGTAAGGTCCCCAGCATGACTTGGTTCTCACAGAAAAGTGCACAAAGAAAGGCAAAAATAAATGCAGAGCTCACGTAGGGAAAAAGGGCTGTTTCTGCATGATGGGTAGAGGTCACATAGCATCTTACCTTTTTCCCCCCAATGAGATGCAGTGGAAGCTGTTGACTTTTTTCCCCTCGAAGCAATATAAAAGGATCTATATAAAAGGATGCCTTACCAAACACCTGGGCTTGTCTAATCCTTGCAGCCCAGTGAGGAGGTGAGTCTCTGAATTCATTGGTAAGTTCCATCTTCATGTCCTAAAGGCCAGCTCACCAGCTCTCTGTTCCCAGCAAACTATAGGATCACTCATGGAATTGTCATGGGGTCTGCAGAGCCACCACGTGGACTTGCCACAGGGGGCTTCAGGGCCACCACAGGCACCCCCACGGGTTATGCAGTGCCACCCACGGCTCACAGCGTTGGGTGAGGGGCACTGCCAGGCTGGGCAGAGTGCAGAGGTCCCAGGGACCCCTCTACAGAGCTTCCAGCCCAGGTCCCTCTGAGCAGCGGGCTGAGAGCCTGGCCTGGTCGGTGGTCTCTTCCCAGACAGCTCAGCGGAGTGTTTTTTGCACTGGGTGCAAGAACAGAGCCACATCCCAGCCATCCTCCCTCCAGAGGTGCATCCCTGTGACACCAGCCTCGTCTCAGAACGAACGTGCTCACACTGAAAAGAAACTGGGAGCAGCTGCCAGGCGTGAAGCCTCCTGGAGGAAGCCACAAACCAGCACAGCACAGGTTGGAAGACAACATCACATTCGTGGTGAACCAGCCCAAATACCAAGGAACAAAGTGTGTCAGCAGGATGCTGAGTCAAGCGCTGACAGATCACTGTTCGTATGTGCAGGGGATGAGGTGTCCCCTTGACTGCCCCTCACTGAAAAAGAAGCTTTATTCCTCAAGGCTTTGGCCATATATTTTTTTTTTTTTTTTCAGACAACTCCACAGATGGAGCAGTAACTAGGTTTTGCTTTCATTAATCCATGGACAAAATAAGGTAGAAAAAGGGAAGCTGGCAGGCCTGCAAGTGCATTTGTGCCCATCAGTTTGCACTGCTCCCAGCAGCTTGGGCATCCTTTGCTGTGGAGCTACCACAGGAAAAGCTGAGCAGAAACCACACAAGAGCAACATGCCACATCATTTCCACTCTTGGGAACAAAATCTGGATGGCCACAACTGAGACAAAGCAGTTCTTCGTGCATTTAATCCATGGCAACAGACCTAATTTGCAGAAGGACTACACAACTCCAGCTCCTCTTTGTGCTGAGCTCTTGGGCAATGCTGCTGCAGCTGGGAGAGGTCAGCCAAAAGCCACGTCCACATCTCTGCTGCTCTCTGCCCACTTTTCTCCCTTCAGTGAGCCTCTGTGGGGAAGGGAGCATTCTCCTCGGGTTCTTTTCTTTCACTGCCTCTTTACACACACTTCCTTTGTCCCACCTTGCTCTTTCCCTTCCTCTTACAAACTGTATCAAAAGCACAATCTCGGCTACTTGCATTGATATGGTCCATTCACAGGGCTATAAAACACTCATAAATCAATACTAATATCATGGTTTAAATACGAATACATATATATTGGAAGTAGAAGACCCCGTCTACTCCTGTTCCCTGGGTGGGAAGAAAAGTAGCCTTTACCCTGGAAACTCTATCAGCACATGAATCAGCTTCCTGTATTGCCCGTTCGTCGCTATTAGCATCTGAAGAGAGATTCCACTTTCTGTAGCACCCAAGCAAGCATCCTGCCTGTGGTTTCCCCAAAGACCGACACCAAACCTCCCATTTTGGCTCCCAAACCAATCAAGTGGAGCCAAATGCCCCAGTCACTGGTGTAGTGGCTGCTGCAGGAGAGCTGAGTGCCTGGAGGCCATGCTGAACCCTGCTGTGCTTTTATTGTTTGGAAACTGCAGGTACACTTGGTAACTTGGCAGAGATGCAGCTGTCAACTAGGTCACTTGGATGCAGTCTCTCCTTTGCTGTTAAAGAGCTTCCCCATTCCTGAAGTCCTCTCACAGGATGGTAGCAGCTGATGATTCATCCCCCTCTTCAGGAAAACAAAACATGAGAGCTGGAAAGGCAGCCAGGCAGAGCAAGAGGCGCTTTTTCCATCCCACAGCAGGTGAGAGGAAGATACACACCCTGTCCATGTGCTTGCTCCAGGGCAAAGGAGGAGCTGAGGCCATTTTTGCTCCTGAATGTGCTACAGTAAATACATCAGACCAAAGCCAGAGCATATCTCCGTGGCCCTGGGGCCCCAAAACGAGATGTTTTCTTGGGGCCATCTTCCTTTGGAAGGAGACAGCATTAGCAGCAGTGTGCTTGGGCTGCAGGTGCTGTGCTGCTGGGACCCTGCTCTGCCTTGACACAGGGCTTCCAGGGTTACCGGTTTCTGCCAGCAAAACACATCTACTCAGCTGCTGAGAAGGCAAAACAACACGAGTAACCTTGCTTCAGCAGCTGCAAAGCGGGCAAGGAAATGTGCTGAGACATGAGATGGGAGCTGGGGGGTTTTGTTTAATTGCTTCACCCTGAGCAACCTGCTGTGGTGGGAGCAGAGCCCCACAGAGAAAAAACTGTGACTGCTCCAGAGCCATGGCAGCCTGCTTCAAAACAACTGCCAGCTCCTAGAAAGTTCAAGGCTTTAATTTTGGGGAGTCGTTCTTGTTGTTTCCTCATCAGTGTTGTTCAGGACTCTGGTGCTGGGGTCTGCCAAGCCACTCTCACAGCCCAGTGGTTCCCTTCCCTTCCCTTCCCTTCCCTTCCCTTCCCTTCCCTTCCCTTCCCTTCCCTTCCCTTCCCTTCCCTTCCCTTCCCTTCCCTTCCCTTCCCTTCCCTTCCCTTCCCGGCGCCATCACAGCACATCGGGGCCGCCCCGCCTCAAGATGGCGCCCGGCCGGCTCCGCGCCGCCCCGCCTCAAAATGGCGGCGGTCGGGGCCGGGCTCTCACCGCCCTCAGGGGGGGCGGCGCCTGCGGCAGCATGGCGGACGATAAGGTGAGTGGGGCGGCCGGGCAGGCCCGGCACGGCGCCGCGGGCACAGAGCTGCAGCTTGTGTGTTTCCCTAGGACCCGCTGCCCAAGCTGAAGGACCTCGCCTTCCTGAAGGGGCAGCTGGAGAGCCTGCAGCGGCGGGTGGAGGACGAGGTGCACGCCGGTGTGGGGCAGGTAAGGAGGGTTGGGGCCGGCCGGCTCTGCCGCCCCGTCCCGTCCCGTCCCGTCCTGTCCCGCAGCCTCACTCCTCTCTGTCCCCGCAGAATGGCTCCCTGCTGGCTTCTCCTTTCCTCAAGGGCTTCCTGGCCGGCTACCTCGTAGCGAAACTCCGCTTCTCGGCGGTCCTGGGTTTCGTGGTGGGGACCTGCACGGGTGTCTACGCAGCGCAGAACTACGCCGTGCCCAACGTGGAGAAGACGGTCCGGGACTACCTGAGCTCCCTGAGGAAAGGTGGGGACTAGCCAGGGGAACCCGGCCGGCAGCGGCTGTGTCAGTGGCACTGCTGGGGCAGGAGGCTCCTGTGTCCCTGCGTGCTGCTCCTGCCCCTTGGACGAGGGCTTCGCACCCACCGATCATTGTGAGATGCTCCCCGGTTTGGTTATGGGGTGTCGGTAACCGGTGACGGTGAGGGGCAACCATACCCTCACCCCCAGCAGCTCGGACGTGCCGGCTGCCTGCTCCCTTGTCCCCTCTCCCTGCAGCCCCCAAACCGCTGTCACTGCCCCCGTGCCCTTCCACTGAGCGGGTGCCCTGCCCTAGGAGTGAGCTTTGTGCGGTTTCCTGGGGAGACTTCTGCTTCTCCCCTTAATGAGAAACAAAGCCATTCCCTTCCTCTGTATCAGAAATGTAACAGGTAATATCCTGTTTTAATCAGGCTCATTAAATTCATGGTATTCGCTTTCTTCTTGAATGTGCCGGGGTGTGAGTCTATCTGGCCTCTCCCCGCTGGTAGCAGCTCATCCCTGCTGGCTGCCTCCTGGAAATGGGTACGTTTGGTAAAGCCACTGCTGCTCTGCTCAGCCCTGTGCCCAGGGTGTCACAGCGGGGGCTGTGGGGACTGATGCTGCTCTTGTCTGTGGCTGTGTACGGCTCCCACGCTCCCCTCCTGACCCTGTGCAAGGTGGATGGCACAATCCCATTCAGCTCTTCATCCGTCGTGGTTCTCGTCGAGCTGACAAAGCTGGTGCTCTCCCTCTTCTTCCTGCTGACCTGGGACCGGCAGCTGCTGGGAGTTGCTGTGTCCTGGCACCACGTCGTTCCCTTTGCCCTTTCTGCCCTGCTCTATGCTGCAAACAACAATCTGGTGGTTCACATGCAGCTCTTCATGGATCCCAGCACCTACCAGGTCCTGAGTAACTTAAAGATTGTCAGCACTGCGCTCCTCTACAGCCTCTTCCTGCGTCAAAGACTCTGCATGCGCAAGTGGCTGGCACTCTTCCTCCTGATGGCTGCTGGGGTGAGCTACAGCCTTGGAGGCTTGCAGGACCCACAGGACTCTAGCAGCCCCTCCAGGATGCAGCTGCACATCACGCTCGTGGGCTTGTTGCTGATTTCGGTGTACTGCCTGATATCAGGTTTGTCAGCTGTCTACACAGAAGCTATCCTGAAAACCCAGGCTCTGCCTCTCAGCCTTCAGAACCTCTTCCTTTACTTCTTTGGCGTCCTGCTCAACTTGATCGGCCATTTCTGGAGCAGCACAGAGAGAGGTTTCTTGGAGGGCTTTTCCTCCTGGGTGTTGGTGATTGTGGTCAGCCAGGCCTTGAACGGCTTGATCATGTCTGTGGTCATGAAGCACAGCAGTAACATCACCAGGCTCTTTGTGATCTCCTGCTCTATCCTGGTCAATGCCGTACTGTCTGTCATGCTCTTCAACCTGCAGCTCACCCTCCTCTTCTTTGTTGCTGTCTTGTGCATCGGCCTTGCTGTTCACTTGTACTATGGGGTCACATAGCTGTTGCCTTCCTGCCCTGCATGCGCCAGGGCAGCTTTTATTTGTTACTCAGGGGTGTTCATTGCTTGTGCTGGGGCTGGTGTTAGAAGCATGGTGGTGCCTCTTCACCTTCTCATTGTGAGAGGTGCCTGAATGTGTTACTGTTGGCCTAAAGCAAATGCACGTGAGGGCACTGCTCAGCGTCTACATGCCCAGGAAGCAGGGATAGTGCCCTGCCTGTGCTCTGCTCCAGCCTGGCCAGGGCTCCATGCCATGAGGCTCCCGCTTGCTCCGGTGGGCCCAGGCTCTAGAGCAAATCCTGAGCCCCTTGGCGTGCAGGACATCACAATCAAGCTGCTTCCCCCATCCTCTGCACACCAAAGCACACACCGAAGCACACGCCCATCCCCTGGGCCAGTAAATGCTGTTGCAGGGTTAGCTCTGGTGTGCTTCTCACGTGCATGCGGCCAGCCCTGCTGCATGATCACTGCCAGAGGCACCGGCCTGCGTGGAGCAGCGTGCTGCTGCCTGGAGAGCCCCGCACTGTGGCTGGGGGCATTGCTCCCACCTCCTCTGCAGTTTTCCAGCCTAACCCTTGACCCAGCCCCTGGCTGAAGATCTGGTGGGCACTGGGCTTCATTTGCCAGTCCTGGGCACGGCGTTACTACCCACCTCTCTGGACAGTATGAGGGAACTGTTTTGCCTGCTTTTCAACGGGGAGACAGCACCTGAATTTGTACAAATGCTGTGGCTAGTGAATTCCTGGTGGGCAGAAGTCACTGCTGGCTCCGGCACGGTTATTAAAGCTGTGTTTCAACAGTGTGTGTGTGTGTTTGTCCTCCCTGCAGGAAGGCATCTCTGTCACTTCACAGAGCTTTGCTCTGCTCCGTTTGGGGACGCATCTGATCCGGACACTCCTTGGTGAGGGGGCACCCACTTTATTGCGTGTGGCTGCATGCCCGCAGCCATGAGCCCTCCCACGGTGCGTGCTTCAGCCTTGTGTCCCTGTCCGCCTGGTGCCACGGGGGGCCCTGCCTGTGCTGTCAAGAAGCCAGCACAGGCTGGACCAAAGGCTTTGTCCTAGGTGGCAGTTGTCACTGTGTCCCCTGGCAGCAGGGGTCAAGGTGTGGCCATGCTGTCCTTGTCAGGGCAGCTGTGCCCCTCATTCAGGGACACTGTCTCAGGGTGCCTGTGTGGTGGCATCAGCTGAGCCATGACTTTTGGCTTCCCGCAGCCGCTGGTTGTGTGCAGAAAGCTCCACGACATCCCGCAGCACCTCCTGCAGCAGCGCCCGGTGCCGGTGCTCCAGTGCCTCTGCCCGCTCCTCCGCCTGGCGCCGCTGCTCCTGAAGCACCTGCGGGGACACCCAGGGCCCCATGGCACCCTCCTGGGGTGGTGCCAGCAGCCTGGGCTTGGTGCCCAGCCCTCCCTGCCCACCTGCTGCAGGTGCTGTCTCCAGGCCTGCATCTCCTGCCGGTGGCTCTGCAGCAGGGCCTCCAGGTCCTGCTCAGCTGCCTCGCGCTCCCTTTGCACTGCCTCCAGGCTCAGGCGCAGCATGGCCACCTCCTGCTGCCAGCGAGCTGCGTCCCACTGCAAACACAGGGATGGATGCCTGGGAGAGCCTAGAGCCCTCCGAGTCCACCTCTTACACCTCGTTCTGCCTGGGGCTCTCCTGTGCTCACCTCCTGGCCCGGCGCTGCCCCATCCCTGAGCTCCCGCTGGAGGAGCAGCTGGTGCTGAGCCTGCAGCCGCTGCCTCTGGGCCTTGGCCGTGGAGTATCCAACCTCCAGGGACGGGCACGGCCAGCAGCAGCTCCCTGCCTGGCAAAAGCAGGGCCATGGGGCACGCTGCAAGGTGCCGAACGTGGGGGCACCTGGCGGGGTCTCGCTCACCACGTGGCCCCCGGTCGGTGCCCGCTGCTCCTCCAGCAGGCCTTGTCCTGCGCTCCCTGGGGCTCGGCTGGGCCCTCCCTGGCAGCTCTCGCTGGCCCCTGGTGCTTTTTGGGGAGAACGAGGTAACGTGAGCAGTGCCCCCTGCCACGGCAGCCCCCCAGGCATGGGGCACGTGCCCATCCCCTGCTCCCAACCTCCTGCTGCCTCCAGGCTGGCACCGTCTGGGGACGTCTGGGTCCCAGGCTGTTGGGCTGGTGCTGCGGTCCCTGCAGAGATCAGGTCCTGTGGAAGCAAGAGGAGACGTTACGGGGACACCAGCAGACCTCAAAACTTCTCCTGTGCCCAGGTTGTCCCAGGGCGAGGTGGTCATGGCCGGAGCTGTGCCCACCTTGTCACTGGGCTGATGCGCCTGGTTTGTCCCAAACGCCTTGGTTGCTGCCTGCTTCTTCTCCCACCTTTGGCTTTTCAGTACCTGGAAAAAGGAGCTGGGGGTGCTGGAGGCTTCCAGACACAGACACACCCCACCCAAACCACCTTTCCCCCCATCAGGTTGCCCCCAATGCTAGACGAAGCCCTGGGACACCAGAGGATCAGCACAATCCTGGTCCTGGCCAGGCTGTAGGGTATCCAGGGGGGCTCCCCCACCTGCAGCTCACGCAGGGCTCTCTGCAGCTGGGCCACAGCTCTCTCCTGCTCGGGGCCACCAGCTGCAGCCAGCAGCTCCGTCCGCAGCCCTCGGATCTCCTCCCGCCGCGCCGCCACCTCTCGCTCGGGGTCCCAGAGGGTGGGTGACACCGCCTTGGCCGCCCCCTTCACCCGCTCGGCCAGCGCCAGGGCTGCCAGGATCTCCTCCCCGGGGGTGTCTGCGGGAGCGGCAAGTCCTGGGTGCCCAGACTGGGGACGTGTTCGTGGGCACGGGGATGTCCCCGGCTGGCGGGGCTGAGCTGGTGGCTGTCAGAGGAGGAGGAGGAGGAGGAGGAGGACACCAGCGGTGCAGTCCCGGTGCTACCTGGCAGTGTCACACCCAGCAGCAGGAAGGTGAGGCTGTTCCCCTCCAGCAGCTGCTCCACCACCCATGGCAGAGCCCTGGGGGTGCCTGGTGCCGGGATCGTGGGATGGGGCACCCTGCCGAGAGACCCCCCCATGGGATATGGATGGGGCATGGAGCCGGGCACGCAGTAGCAAGACCAGGCAGAGCCCCAGCTCTGTACGTACGGCTCAGGACAGGGTCCTGGGAACGCCAGGATGCGGAGAGCTGAGCGCTGGTGCCTGCCGCCCTCCAGCTGCCGCTCCACAGTGAGGGTGAAGAGGCTGCAGGCCCTGGGGAGAGGCCGCGGTGAGCGGTGCCTGGACCAGCCCCTGCCTCAGGCCCTGCATCGGCCGGGCACTCACCCCGGTGCAGCCGAGTGCCCGTCTGCTGGGGACTGCGGGAGTGGTGCCGGGGCAGCCCCCAGCCCCCACGTGTAGACGCTGATGGCAGCTTGGGCGTCGGGCACAGCGACCTCCATTGCCTCCTCCACCATCCTGGAAGCAGAGATGTGAGCAAACAAGGAGGGAGTCTCCGGCCTCTGCTTGCCCAGGTCCCTCGGGGGACGGCGCTGGGCAGCCCCATGCTGGGTGTTGGGGTATCAGCCCCCAGCTGGCACCGCGGGGCACCAGGTACCTACAGGCCCAGGGGTGCGATGTCCATCGCCTGCAGGGCTCGGCCGTCAGGACGGAGCAGGTCCCAGGCTTTGCCCTCGGCACTGACCTGGAACAGGGCTGTGTTAGACACAGGGCAGAAAAAGGGGGCTGCTGGCACCCACCAGGGCCCCGTGTCCATGCACGGGACAAGGGGCTGGAAGGCCAAAGCCTTGGGAACCCCCCAAGACCTGTGTAGGGCTCACACCAAGGCTTCCCAACCCCTGTGAAGAGGTGGGAAAGCCCGAGGTGCAAAGCTCTCCGGTCCTGCATGCAGCACTGGGCACCAGGACTGCAGCAATACGGGGTCCGGCCAGGGCCCCCAGCTCAGAGCACCCCGTCCTGCCCAGCCCTGCTTCCACCGTACCTGCACCAGGCTGACTGTTTGCAGGCCCCGTGCGTCACTCCCTGAGGCCTCCAGCTCTTGGAAAACAGCTTCGATCACCTGGGAACAAGCTGGTCAAGCTGGGACCCATTGGCTCTTGGCACCCGTGGCTGGTTCTCACACGTACCAGCAGGATTGGGGTCAGCTGGCTGATCCTGGAGTCCAGTCGCCCACTGGGCACTGCTGTCACCTCTCCACAACCAGCCCCGTACCCTCACCTGCCAGACGATGCCTTGGAGCGGCAGCTGGGTCCTGGGACCATGGGGGTCCCAGAGCAGCAGGGACACGCTGTAGCCAAGGGGCACCAGGGCCAGCTGGGGTCTTGCCAGCTCCAAGACCTTCTCCTGGCAGGAGAGATGTGGACAGCAGAGCGTGGGTGGCGTGGCAAACTGGGGCAGCACGGATGGCCCAGCACGGGGGGCATCAGATCTGATAGCACAGCACAGCACGGAGGGCATGGCACAGGTAACGTGTCACAGCACGGCAGCCACCCCCCAGCACCCAGGAGGAAACAGGGAAGGGGTGAGAAACACCAGCAGAGCCACGTGTAGGAAAAAAAAACAGGGTCCAAGCATGTCTGAGGTGCTCAGCACCTCCCGGTGGGCTGCAGGTGTGCCCCTTGTTGGGGATGGGGGTGCAGAAGGACGTGGGGCGCACGGTACCTGTCCTGCATCCAAGTGAAAGATGCCATCGACGGTCAAGCAGCTCTCCTGGCATGGAGTGAGGGTGATAACGTTCAGCTTCCCTGCCATCCCAGTATGACCAGCGCGGGGTAAAGGAAGGACTGAGCACACCAGGGCTGGAGATGGTGAGGGCGGCACAGAGGGTGGGGGGAGACCCCCAGTCCCTTCTCCTGGTGATCCCCAGGAGCCCCCCTTCATCCTTCCCCCCGGATGATGCCTGGGCAGGCGTCTGCTGGGCAAGTGGCTGGGATGAGGCTCCCTGCTCCCATCTGAGCCACCAGGGTCCCTTGCCCCTTGATGCCCCCATCCCTGCCACTCTCACCTGGATCTCCTTCTCTGCAAGAAGTAGCTGCCGGGGGTCTCTGCTGCCAGCCCCTCCTGGCCCTGAAATGGAGTGTGGAGTGTGGTCACCCTGCCTGCCCTGGTTCTGCCCACCCCCTCCCCAAACCTCCAACAGCTGAGGGTCAGGTCCTGGGCTTCACGTTGTCCCCAAGCCCTCCCACTGTGACCACAGTGCTCAGAGCCACCGGGGTGCTGTGGGTGCCCTCTCCCCACCAGCACGGCTGGCAATCCCAGCCCCAGCCCTACCTGCAGCCTGGTGGAGTCCCACGGCCGCTCGCACACACACCTCCTGCTCGGCCTGCGGGGTCACACAGCAGCGGGGCAATAAGCAGGGTCCTGCCCCGAGCACCCACCAGGACCTGGATGTGCCCCTGGGGCCACACCACGAAGAAAACAGGAGGCAGCCACCCCCCAGCCCCCCGGTGATGTGCCCCACTCACCTCCCCATCATCCATGGCTAGCTCAGCACCGAGCTGCCAGGGCAGGGGATGGGGTTATGCAGGGCGATCACGTTCCCGTGCATTATTGATGGGTATCAGGCACAGCTGTGTGGGCAGAGCCAGGCAGGGGCTGAGCCCAGGCCTGGAGGCACCACGTTCTGGAGGCTGAGCTCTTTCAGCCTTGGAGATCGTTTGACCTGGGGCTGTTCACCAAGGGGTGCCCCCAGGATGCTGCCGGCCCTCCGGTGCCATGCTGTGGGGCAGCAGTGCCCCAGCACTGTGCATTATTGGCACCAGGCTGGCAATCTGCCCCGGGGTGCCAGCTCCCCACACACCCTGTGGATCAGCTCCCCAGAAATTGCTCCCAGCTCCACGAGCCCACTGGGGTCGTGGGAGGCCAGCACTGGACCCACTCAGCCTCAGCGTGCTCCTCGCTCTCTCCAGTCTTTGCAAACCAGGGACAGGAGATGAGGGAACTTCAGTTAGGAAGGTGATCTAGGCACAAGGAGCAACCACAAACCACAGGCTCAGTCTTGCTGGAGATCGGTCATACCAAGAAAGCAAAAAAGGAAATGGTGAGGCTGGGGAGCCTGCCACCTACTCCAGCACCCTGCGCCCTGCTCCATGCCAGCCTCCAGCATCACCACACTCTTTTCCTGCTCACTGCCTCGCCCAGCCTGCATTTGCTGGCAGATCATACACACAATACAGTGAAACTGGCACCAGAAATACTCAGGAACAGATTTTAATGAAAAGGCAGGACAGATCTGGGGGACAAGCACTGCTTACTCACAGCCAGTCCCTTCCTTCCCCATCCTCCCCATTCCCCCACGCTCGTTCCTTCCGCAGCTGCCCATAGCCAGTTTGCTCTTTCCTGTGAGGTGTTTTCTGATAACCCAGAAGAAACCAATTTCCTTATTGGTTACAAAGGTTCTGGCTGAACCTCTTTGAGGCCACACTTGAGGAGTTCATCCAGCAGTGCCCTAAGAGCACTTTGAGAGGTCTTTGTTGCTGTCTTTGTCATCTCCTGCTCATTAGGGCTTGCATGTAGAGATGTTTAATTTTTTGTTCTTTTTTGTTTGCTTGTTTTTTCCCTGTCCCTTGGGCTTTTTTTTCGTCCTGGTGCTGAACAGCAGTGAAGCAGACATCCAGGCATCCTTACAGCTGTAACCCCCAGAACAGGAGAGGCAGAGGACAGGCTGGGGGACACCAAGCTACGAGAGAGCTGGTGGTGCAGGGGGGCATCATCAGGCTGGGATGGGGCTTGGGGGGTCTGTGAGCAGCCTGCAGAGGTGCAAACACAACGGACCCAAACTCCTCTTGATCAGGGCTGACAATTCCAGAGGGGCAGTGGGTGCAATATGGGACCAGGGAGGTTGAGGTTGGATGTAAGGAAAATCTTTCCAGGGACAGAGCACAGCAAGTGGGGTGGGGTCTCCCCATCCTCGAGGGTTTCCAAGACTCAGATGGGAAAAGCCACCACCACGGTGGGACAACGCTGAGGACAGTCCCGTTCCACGGGGAGCCTGGATGGAGAGGCGAGCAGGAGAGCCCCTCACGAGCACATCGGGCTCCTGCGAGCCTTCTCCCCGAGCTCCTGGCCGTGCAGCCCTTGGGGTTGAGCAGCTCTGGGGCCGGCCACGCGTCTCCTCCGTGCCATGACCAGCCAGCCAGCCCCGGCCACGCAGAGCAGCCCGAGGGCCGTGCAGACGGGGGCAAGCACCGCAGCTCTGTTGCACTGCAGCACCGAGGCAGGCACGTCCCTCACCAGCGTGCCCTGGTAGCGAGGGGGCGAGTGGCACGCGTACTGCTGGGGCCAGCCCTGCCTGAGGCACCCCGTGGCTGCCAGCGCCTGCAGGGCCCCAGCCCCGGCGCAGGTGCAGTTGTAGGGGTTCCCAGCTGCGGACACCTCCTGCAGGTTCTCCAGGAGCTTCACCTCGTCCCACGGCCACTCCGCAATCAAGTTGTCGTCGAGGTGGAGGGAGCGCAGCGCGGGGTAATTCCTGATGGGGGGGGCGGCCAGCAGCAGGTTTCGGCTCAGGAGGAGAGCCTTCAGGGAGCGGAGGGAGATGTCTACAGCACGGAGGCGGTTGGAGCTCAAGTCCAACACTTCTAGACCAGGAGGCAGAGGTGTGAGGAGTTCATCCAAGCCAGTGTTGGACAAGTTAAAAATTCGGAGGGATGCCGGCCACTGGCAAGAGGAGGACGGGCTGGCCACGAGCTTGTTCTGGCTGAGATCTAAGTGCTGGAGCTCGTGCAGCAGCTGCACGCTTCTGCACACACCGTGGTAGGACGTCAGGTTGTTTTCTTGCAGACTCAGGACCTGGAGCTGCGGGAAGGCCCCCTCGCAGAAGGCAGGCATCAAGCTCCCATCCCCAAGGCTGTTTTGTGCCATGTCCAGGGAGCGCAGAGCTCTGAACACCCTTCCGATGCCACAGGGCAGGCTGGTGACGTGGGAGCTGGTGACAGACAGCTCCTGCAGGGTCCCCAGCCAGCTGCCCAGCTCAGAGAAGTCCTGCTCGCGGCCCGTCAGCGGGGCAGATGTCACGTTGTGGAAATGCAGGGACAATATGGGCAAGTTCTGGCCAGCCATCTCACGCCAGCTGCTCCTCCCCAGGAAACTGCAGCTCTCAAACGCCATCTCCTGCACCCGGGTGTAGGAGAAGAACCTTAAGACACGGGCGAGGAGGACCTCAGGCACCAGGAGGTCGCCAAAAATGATTTTCTTGATTTCAAGCGTGCCGAGCATGTCAATGGTGGAGGGATCCAGGTCTCTGACGGGGAAGTCAACATATTTCTCCAGCTCTCCTCCCTGGAACTCCACAACAGAGGCCGCGAGGCACTGGATGATGCTCCCTGCGTTGTCCTGGGACAGCCTGTAGCACAGACAGTACTCCTGGGTGCGATTGAAGAAACACCTGCCCTCTGCCTCCAACAGCGCCAGCCCCAGGAGGAGGAGAACAGCCACCCTCATGGCAAACAGCCTAGAAATGAGGAGAGCAGCAGAGTAAGGCAGGGGCAGCTGAGGGGACCATTCAGACCAACAGAACAAAGGGCTGACTTGGCCAGGATCAGGCGCTGCAGAAACATCCTTCATACGGCCACCGAGCTGCACTCATCGCCCCTTCCAGCTGCTGGCGGGTCCAGCATGCCCCACCAGCACCCGTGTGGCTACTCAGAGGTGACTCAGGGCAAAGCTCCCAGCCCTTTGTAATCATCAGTGCAACACCCAGGAGCTCCACCTGTGCCACTCGCTCCTCTTTGCACTGGTCCGACCCGACCCCTGAAGCAGAATTTCAGCGAGACCGGGGCTGAGATGCGGAGACAGGGTGGCACTGCTGCAGAGACTCCTCTCTGTGAGCAACCAGGAAACATTCACAGATCTGGAGCAACTAGAAAGGCTGAGTTATGTACAGCAGAGACAGATCTACTGTTTTGAGCACAGGATGGGACAGCCACAGCTCTGTTTGTTTCTCTGTGCAATCTGGGGCAGGAAATTGCAACAGAGAGCTTCATATTTTCCTTTCTCTCACCCAGGGATTTGATTCATTACCAGCCTCAAAGGGAGAGTAGAAAATAGTCTCTGAGAGACTCCGTACACCCCCAGTCAGCATCAAGTATAACTGCAGAAATCATAAGATTAAAGGCTCCCAAGTTATGCACTGACTCAGCTCTGCCAAAGAAGGGTGATGGGAAGGAGCCTCGGGGGGTCTCTAGCCCAGCCTCCTGCCTGGAGCAGGGCTGTTGCTGGCACCAGCCCAGATCAGCCACAGCTTTTCCTGGCCAAGCCTCAGAAAGCTCCGAGGACAGAGCTCTCACCTGCTCGGCGCTGCCGTGCACCACCCTCCCCGGGGGGCACCCTGCACCAAACCCCTGTCATGGGGGGGAGAAAGCGTTCGGCAGGGGTGGGCTGCTGCTGAGACTCACCGGCCAGCTCCAGGCTGAAACGCTTCCTTGCCCGGTGGCTGCTTCCTCTAGCTGCTGCCAAGTCCCAGCCGTAGGTGCCAAAAGCTCTGCAAGTGCTCAGCTCTCCTGCGCCCGATCCTCCCCTGCCTCCAGCCCCGTGAGGCCGCGGTGACCGCAGGTGCCTCCCAGTTGCTGTTTGCACATTCGCAGCCCTGTCCTGCTGAAGTTGGGTTTAGCGAGCGCCTCCCGCCCTGATCACTGTGCTTGGGGCAGGTAGATACCAGCAGCAGGATCCTGAGCTCTGCAGGGCTCCTTCCTGAGCAGCTTCCTGAGCAGGATGGGGCCAGTGGTGCCACGGGAAGCAGCAGCCGCCCCAGTTACTTCTGCTTTGTTTAGTGAAGGCTGCCCTGGGCTGCAGCTGGAAAGGAGTTCATTTACTATCCTGGGAAGGACGGGGAACAGGCGTGGCAGTAAGCTGCCCTAAAATGTGCTCTCAGGACAAGCCCCAACACACCTCTGCCTCCAGGTGCTCTGGGCTTGCCATGCCCTGGAGCCCACTGCGTGGCGAGCACCCAGCAGGAGGTGACGCAGAAAGGGAAGGGGCTGCGATGCCCCGTGTCCAGACCATGCCCTGTCCCCGTGTCCTGTGTAGGATGGGGACAGCTACTGACCCAATGTCCCCGCTCCCACCACACATGGCAGTGCTGTGACAGCACTACCTGAGGTCAGCCTCTTGGCTTGGCTGAGGAAATGCCCAGTGATCACCTACTCCAAAATGTCAATGCTCCTCACCAGCAACCGCAGGCCGCTAGGCATTCAGAAAGGTTGATCTGTCAAGGACTTTTTCTACCATGGGGTTTTCTCTGCCTATGCTGGGTTTCAGAATGGATTTCAGAGAAAAAGATGAAGCTGCACAGCGAGAAGACGCAGTTCCCAGTGTGTGGTTAATGTAGTACTGCAGAAAGGCGCAGTCAGCACAAGAGCAGCTGGGTTGCAGGATGCCTGCCCCACGTGTCCTGGCACTGTCTTGCTGGGATGGGCAAAGGGAAGATCTCCTTTTGGTTGTTTATCTCCCTGTGGTTCACTCTTAGTGCCTCAGGCAGGCTCTGTACTGATTTCACTTCCTTCTCTTGAGCTACTCCATGATTTCTCTTCCCTGTTCTTGAGTTACATGGAGCTGCTGCCCCATACAGCATGGAAAAAGTCACGGAAATCACGGAAATCATGGAAAAAAGCAGATGTCCTGACACCTCTTCACTTCTTGCTCTGGTGACATGGGTCTAACCATCAGGACCTTTTTAATTGTTTCTTCTTGCTACCTGCTGCAAATTCCCCCAAAGATCTGCCAGAGAATAATTAAATAATATATATGTGTGTATAAAGGAGCTTTGTCTCCTCAGTGGCCAGCCACACTTTGGTTTCAGTGAGATTTGGTTTTGGAGATTTCCTTTGGGTGATGACTTTCTGGCTTTAATTACTCCCGTGGAAGATCCCAGGATACTCAGACCAACAACCTGACATGGCTGCTGGGTCTCTGGGCTATTTTTGCCTTCAGTAAAAACGAATCCTGGCCCTATAGAGCTGGAAACCTTGCCTGAGGCTGGAGCCTGACCAGTTTCTCTCCCTGCAAGGCGTAAGGAATCCTTCTCGGCCGCGTCCCCTGCCTGTGTGCGCTCATGTCTATATTTCAAAATGAAACAGAGACGAGGTGATGCCCTGCAACAGCTGCAGCCCAGCGATGGGTGACGGTCACCACACGCTCCCTGGGGCTGCGTTAGGAACCAGGACAAAACTCCTGCAGCACCCCGCTCTCTGCAAGGGCTGCTGAGAGCACAGCCCAGCCTGCACGGGACCATGAAGGATCACCAGGCCCAACGTTTTGTGTGAGAATGGAGCCTAAATGCCATTATCCACACCTCCAGTGACCGGGGACGCCACCACAGCCCCCACAGCCCCGGGCCCGTTGCGATCGCTGCCCCAACCGGCGGCGGCCGCGGGGGGGCCTCCGGGCTCCGGTCACGCCCCGCCCCGTCCTCCTCCTCCTCCTCTTCCTCCTCTTCATCCTCCTCCTCCTCCTCCATGTGGGGCCGGCGGCGTCGCGGGGCCGTTCCCGGTCCCGGGGGGGGCGCGGAGGAGCTGCGGGCCCGGCGACGGGAGCGGGAGGCAGGTGGGGGCCGGCTGCTGCCCGCTGCTCCCCGTTAGCAGGAACGGGGCTGCTCGGTGGGGTGGGACCCGGACCCCCCCCCCCCCCCGGGGGGCTGGTGCTGACGGGGGGCTGCTTCCCCTCCAGCTCTGAGGAAGGCCCGGCGGCAGGAGCAGCTGGTCAGCAAGCGGCTGCTGCGTGAGGACGAGCAGGACGGAGCCGAGGTCCTGCTGCAGCCTCTCCCCGAGGATGAGGTGAGAGAGTGGGGATGAGGAGGGCCCAGGGGTCGCCCCCAGCCTTCAGACCTGCTGGTGGTCCTTTGGGACAAGGTGCTGGAACCACCGAGGCTCTTTGTGAGCAGCTGCCTGGGTTTTATTTGCCTCTAGGATAACAGCATGAAGCCCTAACGCCAGCGCTTTTTAATTTTTGGACAGGTCTCCGAGCTGCTCAGAGGCGTGCAGAGGGCTTCAGAGGACAGGAAAACGCTGCTGAGACGCCTCCGCCGGGCTCTGCAGGACAAGGAGACTCAGCAGAAGTTTGTCAGGTCAGCCCGAGGTGCTGTGGACCAGCAGCTGTGTGCCCGAGGGCAGGAGGCAGCAGGTGACAGCAGCCTCGGTGTCCCCACAGGCTGGATGGCAGTGTCCGGACGCTCGTGGGGCTGTTCACCGGCAGCCTGGCCGACGTGCAGATGGAGGCAGCCCGCTGCCTGCACGAGCTCTCCCACTCCAGTGACGCTGCCGTGGCTGAGGCGTGCATGCCAGTGACCCCCTATCTGCTGACGTACCTCTCGGGACACAGCGTTGAGTTGATGGTAATGGCCGTGCTTGGGTTTGCCAGGGCTCTGGTAATCCTCTGGTAGCGGTTGGGTGGCAGTAGGACCCGTTTTGGCCAAGCTTTAGTCTGATGCACTTCATGTGGAAGTGCTGGTTTGAAGGGCCCTCTGGAATTCCCTAATCCAACCTTCCCTGTGGAGCAGCGCTGTCCCCAGAGCTGCTCCTGAAAACCCCTGAAAACCCCCAAGTGTGGAGACACCCCTTGGCTGTGCCCTGTCCTCAAACCAAAAGGAGTTTGATTCCATCGTGTTTACATCTTCCTCCACGTAGCTGCAGAATGTTGCCAAGCCTCCCTAGGCCAGGCAAATCCAGCCCAGCACCCCCAGACTTTTTTTTGTAACCCTCTGCCCCAACCCAGCTGTCCTGGCAGCCTTGCAGACATCACCTCGCCTGACTTGGGCACACCCAGGTGTAGCCTCCTCAGCATCAAGCACAGGGGAATAACCCCATTTCATACTCTGCTGTCCCCAGTGCTCTGGACACAGCCCAGATGCCTCATTTGCAACAAATTCCCCCACATAGCCCCGTGAGCATCTGCCCTCTTCAGTTCCAAGCTGTGCTTGTGGGAGCAGGAACTGCAGGCTGTGGCTTTTGGACTCCATCACCAGTTCCTGCAGAGCCCTAGGTGGTGGAGCAGAAGGCTGAGGTCCTCAGCCAGGACTCACGATGAGTGGTCAGTTTAGGGAATTTGCTGCAGAGCTTAGATAAGACAGAATTAGAGCTCAGGGATAAAACAGCAGCTCTAAGAGGATGACCACATTTGCAGTACACAGACAGTCTCCAAGATAATACCATTGAATTAGAGGGGTTTCAGGGAAATATTACAGCAACAATTAGAAGCTTGGAAAAACTTTCAAAATTGAAGTGATGTTCTGCCAGTCCCAACACGATTAAGAGAACAAGGGTAGATTGAAGCCAGCGGGGAACAGGGCTATCTGTGAGGGTCCAACAATATCTACCTGTGTTTGTCCCTCCGGAGACAGTCCCTGCCCTGCTCAGGTGAGGGGTGACCTGAGGGGCTTGCTGGCTGCTCTGGGTGCCCAGACAGGCCAGGGTCCTGCTGGGGAATGTGGAGGGGGTGACCCGGTCTCTTGGTTGTGTTTCAGGAGCTGTGTTTGTACACACTGGGCAACCTGGTAGTGGAAAGTGAAGCTGTGAGAAAGCAGCTTCTGCCTCAGGGCATTATTCCAGTGCTGGCATCCTGCATCCAGGTGGGTAGAGTAGCTCAGTCACACTCTTCCCATGCCCTGCCCCCTAAAAGGACCTTTTCTTATACCCTTTAGACGCTGGCTGACAGGACTGAGTTACCATTCCAGCTGGGTAGAGATCCTTCTGTACAGGACTGTCCTGCTGCAGCAAGTGAGGGCCTCTCGTAGGCTCCTTGCAGTGCTTTTCAGGGGTTCACCACCTTGTGCCCTTTTCAAGGTGCATGTCTCACGCTGGTAACTGTGGCTTGCAGGTAAAGTCTTGAACACAGTGAGCTGCAGACTTTTTCCCTCTGCACAGTTTGGGTTCAGGCAGGTTTAGGAGACCCACACAGTGAGCAGTGCTGTCAGCTGCAGATCTGAATGTGCAGAGCAGCAGTGCTGCTGTGCTTGGGCTTCTGAGTCCCTACAACTGCAACCCCTGAGTATGGGGCCAGGGGGAACAGCTCAGCTTTGGCGTGGCTTAGTGCTACATGACGGTATTGCCCTTTCACTAGCATGCAGGTGATGCCCTGGGACCCCTTGCCTGTGTTGTGTGGGATCAGCTTTGTTCTGTTTGATTGCAGTCCCCGCACGAGGCTGTGCTGGAAGGTCTGGGTTACGTCTTGTCACAGCTCCTCCAAGCCAAAGAAGCTCCCACAGAGATCATACCGTGAGTCCAAGCTTTGTACCCTGTGTCGGGATGGGCCCTGGGGCCCTGCGTGGTATTTGCGTGCCAGGGACGATGATGCATTTCCCATCTCAGAGATGCTAATAATTCAGAGCAGAATCCTACAGGAACTATGCAGGCTTTTCTGCAGATCAGGGTGCAGGGCTTGACTCTTTTCCTTCAGCCTAATCTGAGCAGATGGCTTTGGTATTTCAGTAAAGGACAGCGTTGAGCAGGGTAGGCCAAAGGGGAAATTCTGGCCGCATTCCTCCTGCTAAGGAAAAGATCAGTTTGACAGCCCTCAGTGCCAAAAATGTGCCCCCAGCCAAGGTGTTCTGAGTGCCCCCAGGTCCTACCACTTACAGGGACAGCTTGCACATGCCTTGCATTGTGTTGTGGTGGTGCCTGAGTCTGTAGCCCTTACCTAAGAGCCTCTTCCAGGGGTGTATTTGGAGCTGCCTGGCAGCTGGGGACGATCTATCCCCATCGGATGTCTGTCCTGCCTGTGCTCTGGTCAGTGCCTCCATTAACTCTGCTGTTCTGACCCCAGCTTGGTTCTGGACTCTGTTCTCCCCCAGCACATGCTTCGACTGGTTTGCTCTGGCCTCAAATCTGGGACAGGAGCTGCTGTGGAATTTGCATGGTGTCTCCACTACATCGTTTGTAGGTAAATGCTCTTTTATCCTCGTTTTGTGTTCCCTGGGGGCAGACAAACACACAAGCATAAAGGCTCTGCCAGCTGGAGCACAAGCCTGTGTGGAGCCTGTGGCTGTGGGTCTGGGTCCTGGATTGCCTCCCCTTGCCCCTTTCCCTTTGGAAAGCAATTTCTTTCCCCTCCTGGGCATTCCCGGTCTCACATTTTAGCACAGCATATTTGTAGGATTAATGAGTTTGTTTACAGGGTGATCACAGGTGACAAACTTGAGGCTGTTCCTAGTGTTCTAAAAACACCTTGGTCGCTTCCCACATTTGGATTTGTGTCCTGCGCTTCCCAAGGTGAACTCCCAGAATCTTCGAGCTTCTGGGTTTGGTTCAGT